AGTTTACTTTCACCCCTGGTTGCAACGTTACATTCTGTTGTCTGTATTGCTCTGTTGGTACAGAACCACATGCGAGTGAAAGATGGTGGACGTGATAGTGGTAACAAAAACATGTCTTTAGCAATGAGTTACTTTATCACTTGGATTTGAATCAGTACATTTTGTATCCGATAAAAACAAAGATGTTAACAAATTAACTGGACAATATTCTGGTAATTTAGTGATATTTCCACAGTTGTGGTCTTGACTGGTCTTGAAATAAAATCCAGAGTCCGCAATGTCTGAGACCGAGACAAGACCGAGACCAAATGCGGTCGAGTCCGAGACAAGACCAAGGCCATCAAAAAGTGGTCTTGAGATCGGTCTCAAGACCAAGACCGGTCTTGAGTACTACAACATTACTGTAAACTTCAATGTTGAGGCTTCCATCTCTTTCCAAGTTCACCAAACAGTCCAAAAAAGAAGCTTCTTGTTGTTGGCATGCATCTTCTCTGGCAAATGATGTTGTTGTTCAGAGTTGACTTGTCTGGTGAATGCCTCTGCTTCCTTAGCTACACTCAAGTATCATCCACATATCTGAACAAGTGGCACAGTGGTGTTCCCTTGAAAGGGTCCATGGCTTTCTGTTTCATTTCCTCCATGTAACAGTTCCTCCTTATTTGCCCTTTGTTAAAATGTCATGATGACATCAAGACTTGGAGGGCTGCAAACTTTTTGAGTTTTAATGATCAGAAGACTGAGGTCATTGTACTTAACCCTAGATCTGCCACTGTCACTGATCCTGCAAACCTGGACTCCCTTCAGCCATTTCTAAAACAGTCTGTTACCAATCTTGGGATAGTTTTAGACTCAGACTTTAAGTTTAATAAGCAGATAAATTCTGTTCTTCAAAAAAGCTTCTTTCAGCTAAGGCAGATAGCTTAGCTCAAGTCCGTCCTGTCCAGATCCGACCTTGAAAAATTAGTCCATGCATTTATTACAACGCAGCTGGACTACTGTAATTCGCTTTATGCTGGGGTCAGTCAGGTCTCTCTCTCTCACGTCTCCAGCTTGTCCAAAATGCTGCAGCTCGGCTACTAACAAGAACTCACAGGTTTGAGCACATTACTCCAGTTCTGTCCTCTCTTCACTGGCTTCCTGTGCGTGTCAGAGTTAATTTTAAGATTCTTCTGCTGACATTTAAGTGTGTTAATGGCCTTGCACCCTCATACCTCTCCGACCTCCTTCATCCTTATACTCCTTCTCGGGCTTTGAGATCATCTGACCAGCTGATTTTGGCTGTACCAAAAACCAGGCTGAAGCTCAGAGGAGATCGGGTGTTTTCAGTCATGGGCCCTAAACTCTGGAATAATCTGCCCATCAACATTCGACAGGCCGCCTCAGTCTCTACTTTTAAATCTCCCCTCAAAACACATTTGTACTCATTGGCATTTAACACAGTGTGATCTCATTTGATATTTCATTGTTGATGATTGTGTATATACATTTTGCTTTTACTCCCTGACATTTAACGCTGTATCTGGCTTATCAAAGTTCCAAAAACCCGGTCAAGCACAGTACAGATCTGGTCCAGGGTGAAATTGGTCCTGTTGTTTTGGTCATTATCTTGTTGAATAATTTTCTGACCAACCCCAGTTGGTTGAAGCAGCTTGTCCTGAGCCTGGTTTTGCTGGAAGTTTATGTCTGTTGAAAAGGAATTAGACTCTGTGTTCCAGATGCTTGGAAAACAGTCTTTGTTCTACCTTTGCTGAAGGGAGGTGACCCCCACTTCACTGAACAATTATCGACCAATCTCTAAATGCTGCATTTTAGCTAAGGTTTACAAAAAAAAACTAAACTCTCAAATCAAAAAGTATTTGGTCTCATTTAACATCTTACCTCCCCATCAATCTGGTTTCAGGAAACAACACAGCACGACTGCTTCACTGAAGGTTTTTAATGATGTTGAAGCATTGGACACTAAGGATTATGGTGCTGCACTTTTCTTAAACCTGTCTAAAGCTTTTGACACTGTGGACCAAGACATCTTATGTCAGAAGCTCTCAGAAATCGGTTTCTCAGATCACACCTTTGATTAGTTCTCTATCTCTCGGATCGGAGACAATGTGTTTAACATAATGGTACTTCCTCCAGCCATCCAGCTGTTAATGGTGTACCACAAGGTTCAGTCTTAAGACCAACCCTCTTTACAACCTATATAATTAATGTACGTAGGTCAGACCATCCCTGATGCATCCTTACATTTCTATGCTGACGATACAGTAGTTGTCGAGCTAAAACAGTTGCTAAGGTTTTCCAGCTTTTTGGTTATTTTTATACCTGACAGTCTGGTAGACTCGGTTTGGTTGGAGACCAATATTCATGACCTTTTGTTTACATTTGAGCTGGTGCGTTTGCATTCACACTGCACTGTGCAGTCGAGACAACCTGTTGAACCAACCTATTCCCCCACTCGCCTGTGGGGGCGCTGCACCAAGAACTACTGAAAGAAACAACACGAAAACCTCTGAAGACACGTCTTCTTCTTCTTCTGGAAATAAAAACAAAAACGGAGTGGCATCAAGTTTTAGCAGTTTTAGGAGTTATATTTTGTCATTTTTCAAAAATGGACTCAGCATGAGCAGAAGATGAGGCAGAAGACCATGGAGAATATTGTTTTTCACACAAGGCAGCTGACGGCTCCATATAAGGTAAAGAGAAATGCGTGTTTGTTTGCCCTGCGCTGTACTCCACTTCTTGCTTGTGGAGCAGGGCCCGGTCTGTTTACATTCACATTGTAATCGAACCACGCTGGAGTTCTCTTCTACCGGATCGAGATTTAGGTTTTAGCCCGGGCCAGAGTTCGCCTTTTTGTTCCGTGACAGAGTTCGATGGCACGTTCACACCTCCCCAAACGAACTGGACTTTCTAGGAAAATGAGCTAGAGTTCTATTAAAGTGGACTAAACAAGGCTGGTGTGAATGCACCCTAAGATTCATAACTGGCTGTAACTACCGTACCATCATTGCACCCTGTATTCACTGGTTAACTGGACATTAACTTCATGCAGACTCTCTCACTGGTACATTTTTATCTTTAAATCACTTCTTGGTCTGTTGCCTTCATACATCATCTCCTACATGTCTCTGCGTACGTGCAACTACAGCGTGCGCTCTCAGGACATTATTACCTGCAGTGTTCCCTCAGTGCGGACTGAACTAAGCAAAAGGGCCTTCTCCTACTCTGCTCCTGTTTCCTGGAATATCTTACAAAAAGATCTGAAGCTCTTGACCTTGGCTTCAAACATCTGTTAAGTTCCTTTCAAAAACCAATTCAGACATTTTCCTTTTTTGGTATTTTACATCGCTTTACAATCTAGCTGTTTTTGTGTCTTTTTTTTTTTTTTTTAATACCATTTGCTTTCATTTATTCTTCTCAATTTATATGCTTTCTTTTATGATTGTCTACTGTTGTCATCACTCTTTGTTAAAAACAGGTCTCTCTTGTAAAGACCCCGAGGCTCCATGGGACTAACCAGTATCAATAAAGGTTGAATGAATTTATAAGCTGTGGATGTACAGTATATTTTTACTATGTGTGTCTGATAAACTTGCTTTTCATTACGTCTCTTTATTTTTGGTATTTCATTTGTGCTGCTGCTTGGGAGTTACCACACCAATCTCATTGTACTTGTACATTGACAATAAAAACCTTTTACTTCAAATCTATTTCATATTCAAACAAAGGTGTTAGGGGAGGTGTCTTATGTGCACTCAGTTCCACGTTCATTAAGATGTATGAAGGAAAGGTGAAGAGAGACATGAGTGCACACCGTTTGATGAATCTGAATATTTCAGTGCATGTGCACATTCCTCATTTTGTCTCTACACCAACTTTCAATGTAAAAGCCACACTCTTTCATATATGAGGCCTCTGGAGTTTGGTTGTTATTGATTTATTTGTTTTTATTTACCATGTGAATGACTGATAATCTACACCAGCATCATACTAATGATGCAAACTACTTTTAAAAGCTTCAGAGAGACTGCAGTAGCTCAGTGGTCAGCACCACTGCCCTGTAATCCTCAGGCTGTAGGTTTAAGCCCAGAGTGCATCATGAAGGATGCACAGTGTCACACATTTGTCATATATTTAGTGCAACGTTGGCTCACTGTGGCGACCCCTGGTAGCAGCTGAAAGAAAAACTATTTTATGATCTTGATATGATTTGGGGTATTTTGAGGCCACCTCTCAGCATTGTGTTTGAGATTCTTATTGTTCAAGGTTCAAGGCTCTTTATTGTCATTCACATCACATGTGGTACATGAGGTGGAACAAAATTGTATATACAGGGTCCCAGTTACATCCAACAATTAAAAAAAAAGCGTATAAAAAGTATATAAGGATCTAAGATATATATATGAGCATGCATCAGGAGATCTAAGATATACACTAAACAAATGCCAAACGATACACGAAAAGATCTAAGATATACGCTAAACACTAATAATGTAAAATAATATGGTGTATTAAACAGCAGCCCGAACATGAGTCTGTAGTGAGTAGATGGGTATGAATACAGCAGCTTAAAGGCAAGAAAGGACTGAAGGAAGTTCTGTGAGCTCTGCTGTTGTGATTGATGCTGCAGCAGAAAAGAAATGTTGTAAACAGCATCAGTTGATTGATTTTGTAGTTAAACCAGTAAAAGTGCACCCAGAACCCTCGGCTTCAACTATAAACAGAACAAATGCAGTTGAGTTCTGGAGCACAGCGGGGTTCACGTCCTCTATCTTCATCTGCAAACAACTTTTTTTTCTTTCTCAAAACTTTAACCTTTTTACAAACATTTTGACTTCACAACTTTGTTCTCAACATTTCAACTTCAATTTAAAATCGGCATCTTTAATTAATTTTAATTTTTAAGTGGTCCTAATGCTCCATTCTTGTTCCAGTCTTATTTATCTCCTCTAGTTTGACACATCTTTGTTTTTGTCTCAAATGTAGGCACGTTCTTTGGAGCCATGGGTGACTGGTCGTACCTGACTTCACTGCTGGATAAAGTTCAGTCTCATTCCACCGTGGTTGGAAAGATCTGGATGAGTGTCCTCTTCCTGTTCAGGATCTTTGTCCTGGGTGCAGCTGCAGACAAAGTCTGGGGAGATGAAGTGTCACTGTTCTTCTGTGACTCTAAGGAACCAGGATGTGATAACGCCTGCTACAACTGGAAATTCCCAATGTCCCACATTCATTACTGGATTTTACAAATCACCTTCGTGTCCACACCTACCCTGGTCTACCTGAGTCATGCTATACACATCATTCACAAAGAGCAAAACATGATGGAACACCAACAAGAGGGAATTGTGCTGAAGAAACGAAAGTATACGGACGAGAGAGGGAAGGTAGAGATCAAAGGCATCCTGTTTTGTTCCTACATAACCCAGTTAATTGCCAAGATTCTCCTGGAAGTAGGATTTAGCGTGGGTCAGTTCTATATATTTGGTCCTGTATCTGTGGCTCCTAGATTTCTCTGTGAAGTTGAGCCTTGTGCTGAATTATCAGGTTCTCAGTGCTTTGTTTCTCGTCCAACTGAGAAGACAATCTTCATATATTTCATGTTTGTAGTTTCAGGCATTTCTGTGCTTCTTAACATCATTGAAATAGTTTACCTCCTGTGTATAAAGAGGAGAAAGGCCAGAAAGCGACTCGTAGCTAAAGAAAATATGGTGAGTTCACATCTCTGCACACCTTATTCCAGTAAGAAGTCCATGAGCTGCCAGTACGAAGCCTTTCCACTGACTGTTTCCAATGGCTTCCCTCTGCCAGGCCTTGATGGCAACCTCTCTGATTCCACTGGGAAAGAAAAGGACACCTGATGCAGTAGTTTGCACTGCACATCATCGTGTTACATACCTTTAAACAAGCATTGACTTTTTCTGAGTCGTTTTGAAATGTTTCTGACTAACCTACCAAATGTGGTAAACAATGTTTAATGATGTGTCAACATTGTCAAAACTGAAAACAGTTTAGTCTCTGTTGATCAACAACAGTAAATCTGTTCATTGAAATGTATTTAAATCAGGCTGTTGCAGTTTGCTGCTTTAAATGTCTCCAATGTTGACTGCAAAAATTGTCACATTAAAAGTGGTTAAAGTACCAGTAAATCACAAGAGCTGATCTCAACTCATCCATCCACTGAATTTAGTTTAGTTTTTTTCATATACAGTAGCACCAATTCAAAGTAGTAATTTTGGGCACTGTACAAAAACATTCATATACCTCAGTAAATGTCCATTAGTAAAAGTTGTCTATCTAAAGAAGCCAGCTGATTGTGCTGAATCTTCACTTTGACTCAACCTAAAACCCTGAACAGCAAGTTGGTGACAGTGGAAAGGAACAACTTCCTTATAACAGGAAGAGACCTCCAGCAGAACCAGGATCGTGGTCGGGATGAACAGCCATCTACCTCGACTGACTGAGGTTAGAGAGGACAGGAAAGAGACACACAGAAAAGTTTGGAAAGGTGAAGTTTCTATAAAAATCATACCAGTGGCTAGAGAGGGCTGGACTTAAGGACAGCACAGAGACGCAAATCATGACAACACAAGAGCGATAGTCTACCATAACAGACAAGAACCAAGATGCAGGCTGTGCAAAGACTTCCTTGAGACGGTCCAACACAAAATAGCAGGGCATAAGATCCATGCAGGCAAAGCATACATGGAACATCATAACCAAGTTGCTGGAATAATATACAGGAACATCTGGAATAATATACAAAAATATCTGTGCCGAGTATGAACTGGAGGTTCCACAGTCAAAGTGGGAGACTCAGGTAGTTTTCACAACTGATAGTCCGGTAGACTCGGTTCGGTTGGGGACCAATATTCATAACATTTTGTTTACATTTGAGCTGGTGCGTTTGCATTCACACTGCACTGTGCAGTCGAGCCAACCTGTTCGAACCAACCTGTTCCCCCACTCACCTGTGGTGGTGCTGCACCAAGAACTACTGAAAGAAACGACACAAAAACCTCTGAAGACACTTCTTCATCTTCTTCTGGAAATAAAAACAAAAATCGAGTGGCATCAAGTTTTAGCAGTTTTAGAAGTTATATTTTGTCATTTTTCAACCATAGACTCAGCATGAGTGAACGATGAGGCAGAAGACAATGGAGAATATTGTTTTTCACACAAGGCAGCTGACGGCTCCATATGAGGTAAGAGAAATGTGTGTTTGTTTGCCCTGCGCTGTACTCCACTACTTGCTTGTGGAGTAGTGCCCGGTCTGCTTACATTCGGGGTGCATTCACACCAGCCTTGTTTAGTCCGCTTTAATCGAACTCTAGCTCATTTTCCTTGGAAGTCCGGTTTGTTTGGGGAGGTGTGAACGCACCATCGAACTCTGTCACGGAACAAAAAGGCGAACTCTGGTCCGGGCTAAAACCTAGGTCTCGGCCCGGTAGAAGAGAACTCCAGCGTGGTTCGAGTACAGTGTGAATGTAAACAGACCGGGCTCCACTCCACAAGCAAGAAGTGGAGTACAGCGCAGGGCAAACAAACACGCATTTCTCTGACCTCATATGGAGCCGTCATCTGCCTTGTGTGAAAAACAACATTCTCCATGGTCTTCTCCCTCATCTTCTGCTCATGCTGAGTCCATTTTTGAAAAATGACAAAATATAACTCCTAAAACTGCTAAAACTTGATGCCACTCCATTTTTGTTTTTATTTCCAGAAGAAGAAGAAGAAGTGTCTTCAGAGGTTTTCGTGTCGTTTCTTTCAGTAGTTCTTGGTGCAGCGCCACCACAGGCGAGTGGGGGAACAGGTTGGTTCAACAGGTTGGCTCGACTGAAAAGTGCAGTGTGAATGCAAACGCACCAGCTCAAATTTAAACAAAATGTCATGAATATTGGTCCCCAACCGAACCGAGTCTACCGGACTATCAGGTGTGAAAACAACCTCATACTGTACTCGAATCGTGCTGGAGTTCTCTTCTACCAGACCAAGACCTAGGTTTTAGCCTGGGCCAGAGTTCACCTTTTTGTTCCGTGACAAAGTTTGATGGCACGTTCACACCTCCCCAAACGAACCGGACTTCCTAGGAAAACGAGCTAGAGTTTGATTAAAGCGGACTAAACAGGGCTGGTGTGAATGCACCCTCAGTAAGAAAGGAACACACATTTCTAACAGGAGACTTCTTGTAACTTTCCTATGTTAAAAATAAATTAACAAAACACACAAAAAATTCTAAGCTATACAATGCCCAGATGATAAAGCCTGACATTAGTTTTATTCATGTCTGGGAGTTGCTGGATGATTTATTAAGCTTAAATAACTAAAAGTAAAACTGCAGGTTTTATCCACTTGGTGGTGATGTTTGACAACAAATTACAAAATTTACAGAGAAATGTCAATAGATCATTTTTGTAGTTTTCACTCAGGCTCTTTTTAAAACTGCCTCACTTTAAACACTCTTTATTCTGTAACAAAACACTTTTAAACTTTCATGATGTTTCCTCATGTTGTACTGCTCTGAGGGGAAAACACAGATGCCCACTCTGGTAGTGTATGCTTTAATGACCCCATAAACTTCTCCAACATTCTGAGAAGGCATGCGAGGCCAGTGCACACCACACCCACTGCACAGTTGGACGATGTCACAAATGGATATGTCCCTGCAATAAAAATCAGCCATGAAGACCTGCCATTCTTTGGGTTCATACATCAGAAACTAATATGTACTGTATCCGAAAACAAAGCAGGAGGACACTTGTCTAAAGTCCAATTTCCCTGTAATCAGATCTGATATCTACTGCAACACCTGTGTTCATCAGCTCCACACATGTTCTCAAGTTCCTAATACCCTAAAATCTAAAAGACAAACTTGCTGCCACTAAGATGTTTTCCAGTCAGGTGCAGTGACTCAGAAAGACAGATATCATGCCCAACAGAAATACCTCAATCCAAAAAAAGTTGGAACATTGTGTAAAATGCAAACAAAACCGGAATGCAATAATTTGAACTTCTCATGAACTCATATTAATTCATAATGGAACATAGCAAATCAGAATCAGAATCAGAATAAACTTTATTGGAATTGCACCGAGGTACAACGCGAATATGTATGTACAGTCGTCCGAAAGATGGGCGAAGAGCACGAAGCTGCAACTGTAGAAAGCGCGGCCATTTTATCCTTATCTGATAATAATCTTAAATAGGAAAAGGGGTAGAAACATGAGGGTAGATAGTGGTATTACAAAAAAAGATCTTTCGCATCTTGTCTATCAGGACACGATTTGAGACATCAAAAAACTCTACCAGCAAGCACAATTAAAACATGATTACATTTGCATTTGACATCAAGGTGTTGAGATTTGTCCATGAGCATTTTTTCAGATCAGCCACAGTTTCTGAAGATGTTGTTCCAGCCAGCAGCTGTGATAAGCTTGCACAGAAAGTTCTCGGAGGGGGGGGGGGGGGGGGGGGGGGGGG